TATTCCTATTCTCTCTATAACAAAACCGTCACCCTTGGGAACCTTGACTGCGCGGATAATGTCTCCGTCGGTGCAAAATAGTCATAATTAAAGAGGATTTTAAGACATTTATTCTGAAGAATAATGATTTTTTTGAAGATGCAATTTCGAGCATACACTCCAAATTGCTCGTCCACATGTGTTTGAAAATAAAAATACCACCTGAGTACAATGCGCAGATCTATGTGCGAAATGTGTGTTTGTGAGAAATGTCAAAAATGGCTACAAATAAAATGTATTACCATGTCATTTGCATCATATAAACAAATCCGAAAATCCAACGGACCATACCTTTTTGCAGAGTGTATTTATATCCAATATAATGTTTATATCAGATTTGCCACTTGTCGAAAAATCCCTCAATATCTTCGATCCGTCAATAGATAAAATTCCGTTTGAGACACTATGCGTGATCGGCAAAGAATGCTTTACAGAAACAGGACTAAAAATATCAACTAGGCTTATCTCATCCACCAAATTAAAATTCTTCCATATAGTCAAATATTTTACCAAAGAAAAACAATCAAATTGCGTCTCATTCGTCCGAGAGAATTTTCATGGCTTTTCGTTAATTCCGTCTCCCTCAAATTGTATATAAAAAGATAAAGAGTACAATGGAAACCAGTTTTATTGAAGCTTTTTATATTTTTAAATAGATTTATTATCTTTTATTGGCCCACTCTTGCTTAGTTTGTACTATCTCCAACGGATAGGTAGAAATGTTATTTTCTTATAAACAAGATACATAAAATAATATTAATAAAACTAGGTATTTGAATGGAAACGCCGGCCGGTAAACAAATTAAGGAATGACAGGCGATCGGTCAAAATTATACGGTTAATCTTTTAAGGGCAGAAGCACTGGGATCCTATTAAGCGTAACTTTTAGTTTTCGCCGAAGGTAAAGCAAATAAGTTACATTGAAGAACACCTGCGAATGGAAAGGCGAAACGATGCTCCTTAATTTAATATTTTTTGGTGTAACGCCTGCAGTGTTGGCCGGGTTGTATTTTCCAAAATCTGATTTTAATGACGTATTATGGGAGTACATTAAAATAGGCGCGTCGTCAGAGTTCGAAACGTGTAATATCGTCGTGACGGACGACAAATCCTGCTACGCGCCGCTATACATGTACGCCATGTTTAACCGCTGTTGTAAAAAAATTGTCAACAACACGGCGAACGCAAGATATCTAAGCGACACCCAAAAGACCACCACCATTACTTTGGTAGGAGATTTGGAACGTCTGGAATCGGCGTCGGAGAGTCTCACCAACTCCACCTTCTTTCGCAATCGCGGACGCTTCAGATTTTTAATTTGCAGACAATTAGAAGACGATTCGAGGATCGTCGACAGCGTGCGGATGATTTGGAAAAGTGGAATATTAAGGGCCAGTTTGGTGTACTTCTACAAATCGTTAAGGGTCGTGTCTTACGACCCGTTTTCGGACGAGATACGAAACGCGAGCGCGCTCTCACCCGACAACTACAAAAACGAATTCCTAGAGAACGTAAAAAACCTTCGCGGACATAGAATAGAAGCGGTTGGGTTTTACGACCCTGCTAAGTTTCCTAATACGTCGTTGGATAGACTTTTAACCGAAACGCTAAGTTCAGCGAGGAACGCGTCGCTTCATTTAAACCTGCTTAATTCGTATGAAAATTATACGACGATTATAACAGCCCTGACGTCCGGAAACGCAGAGATCCATCCGTTTACCACATCTATGGTATCATTTTTACAGTATCAGAACGCAATAGATTTCACGTTTCCCCATATGATGAATAATATCGTCGCCTTGGTGCCTAAACCGTCACAGAGATCGAATGCGATCCGCCTAGCGAAGCTCACCTATAAGATGACGGGCTTGGTCGCGTTTGCTCTCATAGCGGTGGAGATTTTGGATAAGAACTTGCGTCTACATCGGAGAGCGTGTTCGTTCTCAGTGGGATATTTCCTTTTCAGCATATACGGAATGCCCATCGCGAAATTTAAAAACAAATCTACGCTGATTGCCAGCTTGATGGTCTTCAACGTGATAGTTTCTGTTATGGTTACCGTTCAACTTTTGCAAGACTTCATCAAACCGCATTGGGAGCCGAGAATCGTTAGTTGGGAGCAGCTGCAAAAGACGAAATTAGATATATACTCCCCGTACTCGTTTGATGAAATAAATTCTACTTTCAAGATCAGCGCGCCGATGCTAGTCTTGAAAATGGTGATAGAAAACAGGCCAAACAGTGCCTACGTCATGCCATACTACGTGGCGAATTCGATCATTCGGGCCTCACTGAACCCCCGATTTGAAATTATGACCGAGCCGATAATTCCGAGCGTTGGCGTATACGTCGTTAGGAAAAACTCCCCCTATTTGGATATCATAAACGACGCAATTGCGTCATTGAAGGAATTGGGCGAGAAGACGCTCCAGCCTCCTGCTGCCGAGACATTTGTCGACAGAAAAGTTTTGACATTTGGTGATTTATCGGCAATATTCGTATGGTTGTTAATAATGTACGCCATTTGCATTGTCGTATTGGTGGTTGAAATTTTGATAAACTCGTGGAGATAGTATTTTACGCAAACCGTAGACACATCTCGTCCGGAAGCCGTCATTTGTTTTTTATATCAAAACAATAATCGACGTGTCTCAGACGTGCCCCTGGTTCATATCATCTCAATTTCAAGAATTTGATAATTCCGCCCAATCCAGAGTTTTTAACGGTAAATTTTATTATATGGTGTACTCTTCTAAATGCGACTATCGATCGAAATTTATGAAGATAGTAATTTATTTCTAAATGTTCGTAAATGGGTAAGACCTACGTCAAGCAGTGATGAATCAGATCCATCAGAAGCTATACAACAATGAAAATAAGAAAATAAAGATATTATTTCAAACATAATACCATTTATTCCAACAATCTGGCATCAAACAGACATGCATCGCAAATAATTGCAAATGAGAAAACAACAAAACGGGGAATAATGGTTTCCTGTTACAATTGGCGAATTGGAAGCATATTTCCAATATTTCTGTACTGTCGCAAGAAAAGAAGTCGGTAAATATGGTAAATATGTATTGTCAGAAGAGTAATTGTAGAAATAACAATATGCTCAAACAGCATTGTTTGATCTTTCCAGAAAGAATAATATGAACGCAGTTGAATCCGTAAGAACAGACAGAGCCGTTCGAACATGGAATTGGCACGATAAAAGGGACGTAGACGTGAATAGTACGGTCAGTTTCTCTCGAAATGACAACTGGGAAGAAGAGAAAACGAAAACTTGGGAAGAAGAACAGATTATGAAACCTAAATGTATTATCTGTATAATATCATAGGAATGGGACGTGTGGGTAAGCAAGATTTGTTTTCCCATTATGCGAAAATGTGTAAAAACGTTTGTAACACGCGTGTTCTAATTTCGTATGCAGAAAAACTAACACGAAGATAATGTTATCCACCATATCGTTACCGAATTATTCCAAACATGGGCGTCCATCACACATCGACTAGTCTGCCAAAAATATATTGGGCACTTTTCCCGGAACATATACCTTCTTCCAATATTAAAAAACACCCTGCGGAATGCCTGCATGGTTTGCACAAAACGGACTTTAAGAACCGGAACATCTTGGAAGTGTGAAAATTGTCAGCAATGCTTATATAACTTTTGAAACATTTTGTAAATGGCGATAGAAGTTGAGATGGTATTTTATGAAATGAGAATGGCATAGTTTTGTTTGTTATCGTCATTTTGTTATTAAAGTTAGATGGGATCACGGCGGCGGCGGTGTCCTCACTGTATTTGTTTTCTGTTGTAACACTATCAACTAAGAAAATGTCAATGTTAGTCAAATTATAATGAATGTGCTTAATGTGTTTAATGAGATGTCAAGGGGTTTAAAAAAGTTGGATAAAGTGTTTTGTTCACTGACAAAAATAACGCATCTTAACCCTTAAATCCATTATTTTGTATTATCATTTTTCACTGTATTTATTTAATACAGTAGAACGGTTATGAACTAAACAAAAATAAATAAAAATATGTACCTTTTTTCTGTTTAATGTAAAGAAATTTATCGATGTTACAGCACGAATGGTTTTTGTAGGTAGGCAAGCGGTCACTATTTTATTGTACAGATAGAATTTTTTTGTGCATTATGCTTTTTTTAATATAGACTGCCATAGTTAATCGATGAGTGCTAATATCAGTATTTGTTTTTAATATTTTTTAATGAAATGACGTATATCAAATTGCACTAGTTAACGGAAGAAATCTCTTGATATTATTTTTTTTCAAATTTAGCAACAAATACAAGAAAAATTTAAAATTTGCCTTCTATTTCTCTAATGGTATTTTTAATGTGCTTAAATCTATATTAAAAACCAGCATTGTAGCAACAGTCATTCTAGTTCATTCAAAAAATAAAAAAAAACCTATAGGACATACGCCACTTACAGCTCTCAAATATTCATATACACTGGGGATATTGTGTGCTATGTCTTCAGGTACTGTGAAATACGTAAAACGTTAAGGGAATCAATGCACTATATTGACAAAGTACATATCTTGACACTTAGATAAAGTACGGTCACTTCTGTCGATATATCTATATATCAAAAAGGTTGCAATGTAACTAATAAAAGTCTATTTCAAAAATAAAGCATACTCATAGATAGGTAGGGCACGCCAAGATTTTCAAACCCGCCATCGCCCGTTGTTTTGCGTTGGCCACGTTCTAATGCCGCGAAAGCGCCACCTGTTCGAATCTTCTCTAAGTGCACGCGATGGACCCATCACGCGACGATGCGTCAATACAGTGTCTTTGGGGGCACTCGCTAGGTAACGCTAGACGCTCGGTTTCGGGCACATATCCGGAGCGTTGACGCAGTGCCCGGTTCGTTCAAATCTCGAGCGTCGCCGTCGCCAAAGGATTCGCAATGCACCAGAGTCACCGTGCATACATATCGTCGTGATTTAATCTGGACGGATCCGTTTTATTTCCACGTCATTTGCGGCCGCCGAAAAAGACGCGTTTTCAGCGCGAAACCGAAATCCGTATATCGAACTCTCGGTGGTCCGGTGTATTTTCGAATTGCGAATTAATCCGTTTCGAGTTGTGGTGCGTTCGTTGGCAACATTTCGATTCGCCGGTTGAAACGGTTTCGCAGTAGAATAATTCAAATCAAAAAAGACGGCGGCCTCCGGTTGGTCCGCGTATCGATCTAAACGCGAATTAATCGGATTGTGTGTACCTCGCGAAACGACGTATGCACGGAGTGTTGCCTACCCGATAATTTATGGTGGCTAAAATTATGGGGACTGCTAATGATCTCTCCAGAACGGTACGTCGGGGGTATTCCAGTAGAACGTGAGATTTTCGGCACAGGAAGGGGGCCGTCGGGTTAGGCAAGTAAGTTTCGTCTAAAAGTCTAACCTATTAATTTCGAAAAAAGACGCGGTACGTAATTCGCCGGGAGGAACATTTGTGGGCCTATTATTTTTATCGCCGTTCGGCAGTATTTTGGAGAACGCGGAGGTAGTTTGAAATATGGTCTGAAAAATATTTTTCACTCATGTAGAACTAAGTTGGCATCGGTTTCAATAAAAATTCGCCTGAAATGTTTTAAATCTTGTACCGTGCATTCAATTTATCTATTATTTATTATTTATTATTAATTGGCCGTTTTGTTTTTAGAGACATCAAAGTAAACAAAAAAACAAAATGTAGGGTTAGTAGCCACGTTTTTTCCACGCGTAAAACAAAACACTATCAATTCTCTGACATATAAGCCTACATCATATTTTTTTAAATGGAACACCCTGTATATTATATATGTGTTATTCCGATTATAATGATGTGACACACTTTATATTTTAGTCCACTCGTTTTTAACAATTCGGCAGAAATAGGAAATTTTTATATAATTGCAAAGAGTGCCTTGACTGACAAACAAAAATATGTTTATATTTGACATATTAGTAAACAACGTTGATGGTTGAATTATTGTCCAAGTCCAAGTCAATTTAGCATCCATAAAGGAGTGATATGCTTCAAGTATACTTTCTGAATAAATAAGCATATTAGGATTCTATGAAGGACATGTAGTTTCTTTTATTACTAAAATATATGAAGAGACAGGTGTTTCTCGGTGACAAATCCATTCGGTCTTGAAGGGATGTAAATATAATGCATTTAAATTTCGTCAAACTCAAAAACTAAGTGCAGAATAATGTTAAAGGAGGATGCAGTTTTGTTTGGATTTTTTATGGACTGATAAAAGTTCGTTTACTACAAGGAAGGGTTGTGATAGACAAAATACGCGATATTGGTATTTCAATAATACACGAAATCGGAACCCAGGGGTACCAATCAATTAATGTATTATTTGGTGTCATAGATCAAAAGTTAAATGGAGATCATTATTTCCATCTCTTACCAAATAGAACAGTATTTATAATAATTACTACTAAATATATCAGCGCTGATTATATACAAGATGGTGCCCCTCCTCACAGTGTGGTGCATGGAATAACCCAAGGTTGAATGGGGAATAACTGTACTCTGTTTAATAAAACGCTTGATGTTCAAATAGATAGTTCAGAATACTGAAACTGAAAAATTTGAGGCCGAGGAAGAGCCTTCCGATTCTCCAAAATTTTGAAAGAAAAGATCATTTGGAAACAAGTACAAGGGAGGAATGGTAAAATCAAACCCGCTAGGCAGATGAAAACAACTTGCTCTGAAAAATGTATTCTGTCATGTTGGTAGCAGGTTTCGGAACAATTCAGGAAATAAAATTTTAAGGAATATTGGGCACTGGGTAACTTCCAACATCAACGAGAAACAATAATTTCGATTGTTGTTCATATTAATTCTATTTAAATACTGTAATTACTGATCTTTACAGGCATTTTCCAGAGCAAAGACCAGCGGCTCGAAAACCAAAAAGAAAATATAAAAGCAGGACTCAAAATTGAGAAATCGTTTTAGTCGTATATGATTTTTAAGTAATGTTGTTTGTTCCAATAGGACAAACTTTTGCCTTTTACTATAAGTGGACATTAAGAGCTGTTACAATTTCATTGGCTTCACAAGTTTGTGTCACTTTATAAACCTCTTCGAAAATTTTTTAGTCCTTGTTTCTAGGTCGGCAAAAAAATCGGTAGTTTTCTTTATATTATGAGTTATGATTGATTAAATTTTATGCAAAGAAACATGTTTCACACGATTTTAAAAATGTGACGTTAAATACGTCTACCAGAATCGCTTAAGTTTAAGACACACCAAGTTAATACCCACATTTTATTCTTACCTTTCTCATTCGGTATTAAAGTAAATTATTAGTTTAAGAAAAACAAGTTTTACATTTTTTTATGTTTTGTGATACTGAATGCATTTTCTTTTATTTCTTGGTTACATAAGTATAAAGTTTTTATATTTAAGTTCAATACAGCTTTTTTAATAATGGTTTATGCACGGAAAAACTGTAACAGTTGAATTCACAAGTTAATACATAGGTCCTTTAAATGGGTTTAGTGTCAAGAGAGACCAAAATGATATAATTGCTAGGTACAGAAGTGTACAGACTGTCAATTAAGGCGGTCCAATCAAAAAGTGTCAAAAAAACTTAATACTTCTTATTTTGCTAACTGTACATTGGAATCTTAACAAAATACCTCTTCTCTTTGAAATTTATACCACTCATTAGTACACTCAGTCATATCTTACAATATAATAAGTTGAGCAGTTGACTGGGACCGAATACATGTCCAACAAAAAGGGATTATTCGACTAATGTACTACTTAAAACCAGCAGAATCGTGAGATGTTTTTAGAACTTTTTTTTAATTTCGACGGGTATTTATTTATTTAGCTATTAATTTATAACATCACAATAAAGACAACTTTCAGACAAGATCTGATATTCATTCTTACTCTACAAGAATTGAAAGTAACTTCCAGTGAAAAAAATGCTATAAGAATCACTTTTAAGTTCTATACTATATATAACATGCTGAAACATGAGACATAGAGCCAAAGAAATTAAAAAAATTGAAAAAAAATCTTTACTGACAGCAAAATTATGTGAATAATATGAATAAGAGATACAAATTAAAAAAAAAGTTTTTATTCCATAACACAATTTGGCTCTGTGTTTTTTGGTTTTTGGATCTAAATTTTGTATTCCTTTTATACAATTTTTTATATTTTTAAATTTTTAAAATATTTAAACCGATTTTTCATGGCGAAACTTTTCTACTCCACTCTACAAAATGATTTTTTACTTTCCAATGATTTAGCCAAATATTTAAACTTTTTAAAGTTAAGTAAGTGTTGTTTAATGTTTTCTTTCTTACCAATGCAAAAAATCTGAAACACTTCGAGTGTTCGAAGTGTTTTCGGAGCGCGAGCATTGAAGATGCCAAGTGAGATTTTGGCGAAACGTCTGCAGGATTCCAGTCGGAGTTCAACGAGCGAACGGATGATATCCCGGAATATAGTGTCATCATATATATATATATATATATATATATATATATATATATATATATATATATATATATATATATATATATATATATATATATATATATATATATATATATATATATATATATATATATATATATATATATATATATATATATATATATATATTGAAAAACTCTTCTCTGCAAAACAATATCGTTAATATGGCAGCATGCGGAGAAGTCACATTCTGTTGAATATGGTACTTCTTCTAGCAATATTGGCAAATTCTCTTCTAAAAATCGGCGGTAATTACGGCCATTTGGCCTTTTGGCTGGAAAAAGTGTCTAACTAAGTAATTTCCAACAATGCCGGCCCAAACATTTACCGAAAACCGTTTTTGATGTTTAAATTCTACAACCACATGGTGGAAATTTCTCATTGCATTTCTGGAAAAGTTAGCTTCATCTGTAAATAGTATTTCTTGGCCAAACAAGGGAATTAAGAATTTATAATTCTTACAGATACAGCCTACTACAATGATAATAAATAATTATAAAGATTTCAAAAATACACCCCAGAGTTTACATATTTCGCGTTCGCACTTCGATTTTTTGAAGTATTTTAATAAGGCAGACAATTACTTGAAATAATAATTCTCTGCATACTGTCATATTAACGATAAATATTGTTATGTTTGTATGTTTATATGTTTTATATCTGAAAACTTTACCGGTCTGTATTTCAACGGTTAAGACATTTAGGACCTATGTTCATATGAAGTTCTCTATTTAAAATGGACCCCTTACTTATTGACATTCGATTGTCATGTGAAGTTTTTATTTTGTTAAATAAATATATTATTTTTATTATAACTAAACCACTCATTGTGAAGCTGTTAAACTGTGGGACACTCTGTATAAGCGCACTTCCGCAACACAAGCACGACGGAATATTAGAACCTGATTTATGGATGTCTCCTAGTTATAACGGAATTGAGAATGACGATAAATTTCGGCTCCGGGCTTGCACTACCGAGAGTTTAGAACTAGTTTCCCTAACAGGGTTTTGGTTCGAATCGAATATGGAAACCCGACTTTTCTAGCGTTGGTATCGCTCCTGGTTTATTTATTCTCCCTCGTCTTTACTGAAATCAGAACATTAAGCGGTCACTGTCCGCAGAAATCATATTACCCTCCAATTTTGAGGCTCCAGTCACTAAATGTGTATTTTAATTAGCTCGACTATCGATTTCTCGACTAATGGAGGAGACTTACCACAGCACAGCATAGTTAGCGTTTGTGACGTCATAAAATCGCGGAACCATGAAAACTAAACTACCGTTCCATTTTTTACTTACTATTCTTGACACATGCAAAGACGACAACTCAAACTCGTTGCGGCACAAACGAGGTAAAAAATGTCAGAATTTTAAAATATAAAAACATTTTAATTTTTGGAATTTGTCGGAACCCATTATTTGACGATCCACAGGAGTATTGATAGAGCCAATCGATATGTCGTGCGAATCATACGTTAATAAAAATAATAGTATTTGCTTCAAGTTTTCTATATAATATAACAAAGTGAAACGACGTCAAACAAAAGCAACAAAAGTATCATACAAACATAGACTAAACATACAGACAAAAAAATGAACAAGCCGGGAATATATGAAAATAGTCATGAAGGTCATAATCTATTGTACAGGGTGAGTCAACGATATTTATTATTTATTTTCAAACGCTAAACAACAGACAACAAAAGAAACTTAACCAGATATATCCTAATCTAGTAGGCAGTATTTAAATGAATGACACGACACGACACGAAATGATTATATGCTATTATATTTATCGTTTAAGTTTGGAAACTCACTACCGGCCAACAGCCAAAGTAATTCTGAATTGCAAGTTGTTTCAACAATTTCTTGTGCCCAT